CAGAAATAAACTTGCAAGAAATTAAAGCAATCAATAAATAACTCGATAACATATTCAATATTCACATGTATGTTGGGTCATCCCTATTGTCATGTATGTTGGTTGCTTCTCAAGAATTTACGCAATAATTCTACCTCGTTCACCCATCACAACCACACAATATCAATCATTCCCCATAGGGCCAAATCACAAACCACTTTAGGAAGGGCGTATACTGTCTCCCACGGCATTGACGAATCCTTCCAAAGAAAGGTATACCATCCCTCAGCCTCGAACTTATGTGAACAATAGTGGTTGCTCTCACAAACAACAATTGACTACAAGTGTTAGGCAACCAACTCATCTCCATTGGGATAGACTTACCTCTAACACCCCATGGCAGCTCTCGAAGGCAATTCAAGTCCATCACACCCAAACTATATAAGAGATGAAACCACAACTTTCTCAACAATCACAATCTTAACCATTCAGAATTTTCATTAACAATTCAAGTATCACAAGTGCAAAATTCTCAAAATATACTACATTGCTAAAGGAATTAAAATATGCAAGAGATCATCTCAAGAAAACATTCACAATTTCGATATCAAAATTCTAGGGTTTAGCTAAAAAATCATAATATCTTGGAACAAGAACAAATATTAGACGAAAATATGATTTAATTAAGAATAGAAATTTAGAAATCAAGAATCCATTTGAATTTCACAATAACACCTTTATTTTTGAAAAGCTAGGGTTTTGAAAATTCAAGAACACATGTTCCTTGAACCCAAGCATGTATTTTGTTTAAGACCATGTTCCAATGATAAAGAAACCAAGAATTCATACATATTTATCAAATAATTATCAAGAGGATTGAAAACGTACATATATAATACCCTAAGTCTCAATGAAAGAACTCAAGAAGAATCCCCTACCTTGATTCCTTAGTTTGTGTGTAAACCAAGCCTATTTGATTCGTTTCCAACATGTGAATCCCCCTTCAATCTTATGTTTCTCTTCTTCCCTCTTACTCTATAAGGTGGCCTAGGGTTGAAAACTAATGAAACAAGGTTAAAGGGATGTCCTTACGGTATTTATAGGGTAAAAACAGAGAAAAACCCTAAAACTGATCGGGACCATTTTTAGCGTAGCGTCCAAACTGTCCTTGGGTGTCCGGATAGTTCAAAGTCACTATTTTTATAAAAAAATTAAGTTTTTGGGAGGACTGTTCGGGCAGTGCTTGGAGCTTCCGGACGGAGGCAACTTTATATCCTAACTTCAGGAGTATTCACCTCTTTAGAAGTCGATTCAGGAAATTTACTGAAACACACTTTTGTAGCCTTTGAAGTCTAGTTTCTACTATCCAAATATCAGCTCCGTTGGATTTCAGATTAAAATGTTATGGCTAACATACTAAGATAATGTCTAATTATTTCCTACCTGATTCCTTTCTAAAATGCAGTTTAACTCCGAAATACTTTCTAACTTCTAATGCATCTCATATTACCTCTCCCAAGTTTTCTCGACCTTCCGGATCCAATGAAAACCTTATTTTGACCTAAAAATAGTTGAAAACCTACCTAATCACTATTCTCAGGCTTAAACACCTTCAAAACTAGGTTTAACTCGAAAGTCAAATTCGTCCGAAACTCAAACTTCATGATCTATCTTTTAACAATGATTCCAAATTTCTATAATCCTTTTATTTATCCTAAGAGAAATAATAATTATTTAATTATAGTATGGGATTTTACAAATATAAAGCATTAAACATAAACGAAATGCACAAATATAACTTTTGGATGATTTATACATGTCCATCACCTCTTACTAAAGAGTAAATGAGAAATCACTCACTCTTCATATCTTTGGTAAAACTAGAAAATGGGGTAATGCTCACCCCTCCAAGTAGAGGAGTTTCAAGGTAAAACACATTACACAAAGAGCCGATCTTCAACAAAGAATGAGTGAATCACATTCCACCTTTCACGGGCTTTGGTAAGCTCTGAAAAAGTAGAAGAGTTTCACTCCTCTAAGGGAAGAAGGAAGCTCAAACAATGGAAGTAAAATAAAGCAATAATAATACAATAAAAGAAAGCAATACTTAAAGTAAAAGAAGCAATAAATTAAAAGAAAGCAATAATACAATAAAAGAAGAAAATACTTAAAGTAAAGAAAACAATAAAGAAAGCAATAATACTTTTGGAGGGTTTTTCACTATCAAAAGATGATCTTTTTTACAAGCCCAAGAGGTGGTAATTATAGGCAAAAAGGGAGGGTTTGAGTTACACTTTGATCCCCCTTTGTTTTGACAGTTAGCACCCCTATAGTTTGTAGCTTTGACAGTTGGCACCTCAATAGTTTGTAGATTTGATACAGTTGGCTTCGCAGTAGTTTGTAGCTTTGACAATTGGTACCTCAATAGTTTGTAGCTTTGACAGTTGACACCCCTGTAGTTTGTAGTTTTAATACAGTTGGCTCTCTTGTAGTTTGTAGCTCTAACGCACAAAAACCCTGAATACATACACTAACCCTTATTTAACTTACTTTGACTAGTTTAACTTTGTTTAACTAATACAATTGACCTATTAACTTAATTGAATTATGCATTAATTAGGGTTAATCAACCAGCTCTCAAAGTAGTGGAACAAGGCTACTACTGGCCTAACATGATTAAGAGACACCCGAGAATTTGTGAAAAAATGTGACAAATGTCAACGCTTCGCCAACTGTGCCAAGACAACCGCTAGAAGAATTAACCACCGTCATGAGTCCTTGGCCTTTTCTCCAAATGGGGAATTGACATCCTAGGCCCCCTACCCATGAGCCACGACCAATGTAAGTTTGTGGATGTAGTCATTGACTACTTCACAAAGTGGGCGGAAGCTGAACCCTTAGCAAAAATAACAGATTAGAAAATGAAAGACTCCATCTAGAAGAAAATGTTGTGCCGTTTTGGAGTACCTAATTCTATAGTGAGCGACAATACTAAGTAATTTGACAACAAACTCCTCAATGGCTTATGTGTAGACTGATAGATCAGGCAACCCCACTCTAGTCTGATCCACCCCCAGGCGAACAGGCAGGTGGAGGTCACCATTAAAACAATCTTGCGCAACCTAAAGACTAGATTGGAAAGCACCAAAGGGCGGTGAGCTAACTAGCTCCCTAGAGTATTGTGGGCTTATCAAACAATGCCAAAGAGCCCAAATGGATAAACCCTTTCTCCCTAGCCTAAGGGATAGAAGCGGTCATACTAGTTAAGATCGGGGTACACTCCCTAAGGATCTAACATCACGACCCAACCACCAATGAAGAAAGCCTCCACATCAACCTCAACTTGGTAGAGCAGGGAAATGGCTATGGTCAAGAATGTGGAGTACAAGTGTTACATGACAAAATACTATAAGTCGAGGGTGAAGCCTCGCTCCATCTTTCCTAGGGACCCAGTTCTCAAAAAAGCAATCCTATCTACCAAGACACATAAGAAAGGAAGCTAGACCATAAATGGGAAGGACCCTATATCGTAATAGAAGTTGTAAGACCAAGCACCTATACAATTCAGAACTCTAAATGTAAAGTCTTGGTGCATCCATGGATTGCCAGACACCTGAAGATGTACTATCAGTAGCACGAAAAAATTAGTGAATCTCACTACTTAGTCATTGCATTAGTTAGTTCATCCAGCTTACTTTGTGGACTTAATACCAATGGAGTGCGTATCCAAATCATCGGGTCTTGCTCCCGAGGGATAATCTAGCCCTTCTTACTAACCCCAACCCTATTTTCAATTCAAACTAGTGCGACTTAGTTGAACCTTGGTCAAAATTTCCCAAGCCCACGCATCATTGACCAAGAATGGTGTTTGATCAAATCCATGCACACACTCTCACATGCTCACAAATGTGATGCTTGCCATCTATATGCAATGCAATGTACAATTGCAATTTCCATGTCATGTTCAATATGTCATAAGCACAATATGAACAGCACTCCATCTCAACCAACATTTTCAATTGTCAATTGTATCATAGGCATATAATTACAATTTACAACATAATTAAAACATGTTAGATCAATTTCATTCAAATAACGTGCTCATATCATTCAAGGCATTTTATCAAACACACACAAAGGCACAAAATCATATAGACACATAAAATGCCTCCCAATTCATCACATTTCTCATGAAATTACCAAACAAGCAATTTCAAATAAACTCAATTCATTCCATAATTGATTTTACACAGCCTTATACCATTTTTCATACTCTAGTTACACTATGAGTATATATAAACAAGGGATTTTATCTCTAATCATGCTACCTATTTCATACAAACCTTAGGTTGAAAATAAACCTTACCAGGAGAATGACCTTAGCTTTTAAAGAGTAATAAGTAGCAGAAACTCCAAGAAGCCCAAATCAAGCTTCAAACCTTGATTTCCAAAAAGCTCGAGAGAGCTCATAAAGTGAGCCCTGTGCTGCTTTCTATGGCCTTTTTCCCTTTTCTTCACTAAGTCTAGTGAAGACTATAGAACATTGATTGGTCCCTATAGGTTTTAATTAGAAAACAATGCAAAAACTTATCCTCTTGAGCACTAAAGGGTGTTGCTCAAAGAGGGGTCCGATTGTGAATCAAACTATTTTTCAAACCTCTTAAATAGTTTACAAAATATTATTTTAAAATCACCTAGGAGTCATACTCGAATTGCTTCTAATTCCTTTTTCATCCTAATCAACCTATGTTACAATAACTAAGGGTTNCTTGTGTATGTGAAAAAATAACTAAAATTTTACTAGTTCTCACGTGGTTGTGCTTTATATGAGCAGGCTGCGATAGGTATTTTGGATGGTATTATTGATACAGCTCCTGAACCTCACCCTATCACGCCATTGATCAAAATACTGTAGTCTCATGGGAAACTTATTATGGTCGGTGAACCCGAGAAGCCAGTTGAGATGCATACCATTCCTGTGCTTCTTCGTAAGTATTCAACATTACTAATTTTAATTACAGACATATGCATCACCATCCCCACTATTCTTATAGTTAACATGGAATATGGAATGACAGGGCGAAAGATGATTGCTGGAAGTATGATTGGGGGTATGAAGGACACAGAAGAGATGCTTGAATTTGTAGTAAAACATAACATAAAATCAGATATCGAGCTTATTTTTATACAAGATGTGAACAAAGCAATGAAACGTCTTGTGGANGAATTTGTAGTAAAACATATCATAAAATCAGATATCGAGCTTATTTTTATACAAGATGTGAACAAAGCAATGAAACGTCTTGTGGAAAACAAAATTCCATTCCGATTTGTTATCTACATAGGAAACACCCTCAAGCCGGCAGCGTAGTTTGATCCTTGTGATTCCTGTTCTGTGATTTCCTTTGGGAGTATGATTCCTGTGGTTGAATTAACATTTGAGTCCTTGTGTTTTTTTCTTCATGGTTGTCAAATTTGGCACTCATTTTGTTGTGAATGTCAAACAATAAAAATCAATAAGTGAATTAAGTTGGTTGTGGTTTAAATGTCAATAAAGTCAACGTATGTGGCTATTTTTGGACCCACATTGCATTCTGCGGTAATATATAATTTGCAGTTTGTTTTTGTAATATCNAGAGATGGATCAGAAAGTCTAGGATGTCACCGATAAGTATCAGCAAGAAGTTTGATTACCTCTAGGGTAGTTGTCCTAGGTTATTTTGAGTGAGGAGAGGCTCTTGTACTGGACTCTTGAACTTGTTATATTTGCAAAACTATTATTAGTTGTTGGGGGATGTAAACCTAAAACATGATTTGATGGTAGTGTGAGAGTTGATTGTTATAAGATAGTAAATTAATGTGCTATGTTTTTGTTAGTGGATTGTTATGATATATTTATGTTCTCACAGGAAATGCTCTTGCCTTCATGCTCACTACCTTTGAGATACAAATTTTCTATTTTATACCTTAAATCCATGACCACACCTAGTGATTTGTAAAGTTTTCATGCAGAAATTTAAAAAGCTACTCTTTATCAAAATTTTCTTCTTCTAAAATCCCAGTCACTATTTGATTATGTAATGAGATGTTTTTAATTACATCACTCAGTTTTATGCAAAACAGGGCGTGACAAATGCACTTAAACATGAATCTATGTATGAATAAACATGAAACTAAACATTATGTTCATTGCCTTCGAATTATTTTCTCATGTTGTAAACTTCGCCAGAAATTTTGAATAAATTATTCTATCTTTTAAATCAAAATTGATATCTTTTATTAGGATTTTTCTTAATCTCAACTCAATGAAGATTTTCAATTCTAAGACAGTTCTTCGTCTAGACACATGTTTAAAACTTTTGGCAAAATAAAACTTTCATCTAGATGGGTGATGCAACATTCCGACTCACTCGAGCAAGTTACCTATTAACTCTGGTACAACACCCTAGTTCTCCTAGGCATGCTACTTAATAAATCTAGTTACAAACTCGTCAGTTTTTAGATGATAACACTATAATAATAATAGTTATAAACTTTTACAAGGTTCATCTCACTCAGAGGGTTTCTTAGAAATTTCATCATTACAAATGGAACAGTGTAATGCCTTGAAAATCCAAGCCTAGAGAGCATGCTCATCTCAAGTCCCCTCCTAACTAGTTCTTTCCACATACTACACCATACAACTAAAAAAGAGAATAAATTTTGTAGGGTGCGACCACATGCCCAGTGGACTAACTTGACTCTACAGTAAATATAGTTTGAAAATAGCATAGTATTTCACATAAATTGGAATTTAAACATGCATTTAGAGATATATAGAATACAACAAAACATTTCAATATCAAAATAGATGTATAACAAAGCAAGTATTCACAAATTCAGAAATATCTTGAAGAAACTAGATCAAAAATAAAAAAGTACTGACCACAAACTCATAATTATGGCACACAAGGAGAACAAAACTTATGCGACCACACAAGGGTCCTGACCATGCAAGGGTCTTGATCATCAAGATAAATCAAATAAACCTTCTACCTGTCACTACCCAAGCCTAAAAGCCAGTGGGCCAGCAGAATCGAAGAGACTCAGTTAAACCCTTATAGTTTGAATAACCAACTTATGGGCCCTCTACTTGTTATGCCCCAATTTTCACAAACCAGAGTGGTGTAATAATTAAATCATAATTCAAAAGATCCTAAACACAATCACCAGGTTTAGTTATGTAAAAACCCAGGAAAATTTAAAATTTTTCTGAAAAAGGGCAAAATGGTAATTTTTACTATAATGCGGGTTTAAAATTAATATTTTTCTAGAGCTTGGATAACACAACAAACCTCACCATTGAATTCGTATTGCAAAATTGAGCTACCATGTCAAATTTTATCAAATTTCGAGATAGTCAGATTTTACACGTTTTACGAGATAAACTGGGTGACGAATGAAATCACAAAGGTCCATAAAAATAAAAATTATAAAATTTTCTTATAATTGAATAAAATTTTAAATAAAATTAATTTAAACTTAAACCGGAATGAAATGAATCGTTTCGGGACAAAAAACAGACCCGAAAATAGTAAACGTGCGGGGCGTTGTGGACTGCGCAATTAAATGGTATAAATAGGGGCTAAATATCTGAAAAATCAGATATTCTCACCCCCATTTGGCTGGCTAAATCAGAAGTTGAAGGGAGAGAGGAGAAAATTTTGATTTCAAGGCTCCTCCCTCCGATTTTCGGAGTTCCGTCAGTCAGAACCCTTCGAACCAAGAGTTAAAGTTGATCACCGCGACAAGGGCTACGCATACGTATCAAGAACAAAAGATTTCACCAAAAATCCAAAGGGGAGATTTTTAGAAAATCAAGGTCTTGAGGTTTGGTTAGTGTTTTTGAAGTCTCCACACTTTATTTGAGTTAGGGTTTCCTCCTACTTTGGTCTAATTCCTATCCTATGGTGTCCATATGGAATGATTATATGTATGGGATGACTTACTTACCTATAGTCATGGAAATTAGAAAAAGAGGTATAGAAATGGCCTAGACCAAATTCTAGCTTGATTTGGTTATATATAGAAGTGCTTGTGAAATTTCATGAAATTGAGTTTTATGTGGACATGCTATATGTTTATAATATGTCTTGTGATTTAAGTGTGTTATTGACATGGATTATGTGGTAGCATACTTGTGAATTAATTGGATATAAATGTTGGTATACATTCATTGGTATGTTGACATTGCGATAGAGAATGGTAATTATATGCTTATGATGTAAATTGCCATGACATATGTTGAAATATGTGGTTAAATTGCTCATTAGCATTCCTTACATATTGGGCATGACATCGACATTGCAATGGTGCATTACCTTGCATATTGCACAGGAGAAATACATCCATGGTCATGAGTATGGGTGTGTGTGTGCATGGTTGGATCAATCATCACACTTGGTGATTGGTAATGGGCTCGGGAAAAGTTGGATTGAAAATTTGACTGAGTCGTATGGTTGCATGAAAGAAAAAACTTGGGTCGGGTATAGCAAGAAGGGCTAGACACTCCCTTGGGTGAAAGGCCCGGCTACTTGGTTCATACACTCCTCTGAGGTGAAATTCTTCAAAAGTGTAATGGCGTACGGAGACAGCGATGTGATTCTAAAATCCGATACCCAACAAAGACACATGGTTTTGTTATATAAATATTCATTTGATGGGAGAAATTCAACAATGAAATGGTATTCAAACCACATGAATTGTATTTCAAAAGATCATTGGATGTGTTTCACCAATGACTAATTTATGACACACGTGCATCGCATTGTGTTGTGGGAGTCGGTGTGGACTTGAGTTAAGGTGCATGAGTGAGTCTCATCTCATTTCATGGCATAACATTATGATTTTTCAACATTGAATTACATGTTCTTGTTGGAATGGGAAATGATGGTTAAGTGTTGCACATAAACATTGCATATGCATCTAGGTAGGGAGTAACCTCTGTAGGAAATATTCTACTTGATGTTGACTCACCCTATACGGGAACACATTTTAGGTGCGGGACACACACGGGTGAAAGACTCCCAATTAGAGCCCCATGGATGAAGAAAGCTGAAATGTGGCTTTTGTTTTGAAGTTTTGTAAAAATTTTGTTAAAACTACGTTTTGACATATAAATGTATGGAATCACATGTGACAGAACTTGTATGAATCATGTATAATATAGAAAATTTCGTTATACATGTTTGGGATGAATTTGGAAAGGTTTGGAATGGATTGAATTTTGAAAATAGGTGAAACAGGGAAAAGCTGTTAAAGCGTACCAGTACGCATACCGATACAGTGAGGTCTAGTAGGTAAACCGTACCGGTATGCGTACCGGTACACTTTCCAAAAATTAGAAATTTTAAAATTGTTTTGTTATGCAATTGGACTTTGGTTTCCTTGGTTCCAATGATACAAATAGAAATTAAATGAGATATATTGGGGTATATTGAACCTCAGTTGGATTAAATGATTAAACGAACACAGGTTACACGTGTGAGTTATAATCCTGGGTAAAGGGCTACTATTAACGTGATGTCGGTTTGTACAGCAAATCACGAGCAATTTCACGGGTTGATGGGTGGTCAACGGTTTAAATAATGACCCCTGGTTTTTGGGGTGTCACAAATTAATTTCAAACTTAGACTTGTATCATAACACAAATCATTTTGCAAAATATAAATTTCTTTTCGAATAGAAATAGAAGGATCCTTTGAAAAATTCCCAATAGTTTATTTGTAAAACAACCATACCTTTAAAAACATTTAAATAAAAGGTTTGTGAACATGCAGGTCAGAGCAATTCTAAGATGACATAGCACCACTCCATAGTACAAAAAGGTACTACTGTGATGCTATAACACCCTAACCTAGGGTATAATATTTGTCACAATACGATGAAAAAAAAACTCAACAAACAACCATTAATCCCTACCATTTTCTTTCATACACCTTAATTTCTATAAATATAAGCACATAAAAATTCACCAAAACCCTTTAGTGGAATGGCTTGCCATGAGCCCTACTTATTTACAGACTATAATATTGATCTCAAGATATGATGTATAAAAATACAATTTAAATTAGAACATAAACACGACCCACATAATGACATCCCAATCGACCCTTTAGGCTCGGCAGTGGACTCCTCATGTCTTTACAATTTTTTTCTGAAATGTCATTAAGACTATTAGTAAATAAAAGATGCGATCAATATTTATGAGCATAGCAACTGATAAAGAAAACTTTATTTACTTAGGAACAACCTTAATAATGCATGAGATACTCACTTTCAAATTACACTTCACCTCATACACGTTGTTCGTATACATCACATAAACATAAC